CCAAGTATGAAGACCTGGGTTCGAATCCTAGCACCTACCAAAGACACAGAGCATGATAGTACATGTCTGTAATCCCAGTACTGCGGTGGTGGACACAGGTGGATTCCTGGGGCTTGCTGACTAGCCAGGGTAGATTAATCTGTGAGCTCCAGATTCGGTATAAGAAAAAAAAAAAAGAGGGGAAAGGAGACTAAGGAAGACAGCATCAACCTCTGGCTTCCATATGATCTACACACACACACACATACACCACACACACACACACACACACACACACACACACACACACACACTTCTCCAGACAAATGCAGCTGTAGCTAGTCATGAGAGCTACCTACTCTTCTGGACCCACACCCTGACTGGCTCTTGCTGCTGCTGAGATACCCTATCCAAGCCTGCCCCTTTACTGCTGCCCTGCCTTGCTCCTCCTACCCACTGCTGACTACTGTCCATTCCTCAAGTTCCCACTGCACCCGGCAGCTTCTCTGACCCTCTAACCTCCTCACTTCTGCTAGTCTAAGGTTTCCATGCCGGAGTCCACATGGGGTGACACTCAATGCAGGTTTGTCAGATGCCACTGGCAATGCAGCGGTCAAAGGCTGCTCTCGTGTCTATTTTATACACACATTGTATCTCTGTGTGTGGAACAGCTGGTCTGGAAGGAACTGTGGATAAATAGCAATTCACCACCTGGTAACAGACTGCCGGTCAAATATTAAGACTAAGAAAGCACAAATTGAATCACAAAGACTTCCAAACTCCCATGAAGAAATGAGGGCAATCCTTGACAGGGTCTTTCTAACCCAATGCCAACAAACAAGAGAAGTGAAGTGTGTGTGTGTGTGTGTGTGTGTGTATGTGTGTGTGTGTGTGTGTGTGTGTATGTGTGTGTATGTGTGTGTATGTGTGCGTATGCTTACCAGGTCATGATATGTGTTATGTATGTGTGTCTGTGGGGTAGGACTGTAGGTATATATGAGGGGGTATATGTGTATCTGCACATACGTGTGTGGTATATGTATCCACCAATGTTATGTGTGTGGAGGCAATGTGCCTGTACATGAGTATGTGTGTTTGTGTGTGTGTTTGCACATGGGCCAAGGTATGTGAGAGTACGTATCTTTCTAGGCATATGTGTGTACATCCATCTATGAACAGTATCTACCTTTTTCTAGTAAACACGTTCTTTTAGTAGAAGCACAGACAGAATTTCAGATTCCCCAGTGTTCTCCCAAATCCCAAGCAAGTTTTCCATTTCCTAGAAAACAAGCACGCGGGCCAAAAGGACTGAGGGCGCTCTGAAGTCACGCCGTCCCCATCAGCGTCTATTTTACGGAATTTAGGAGCAAGGAAATAACTTACACGAGGCCTTACCTTGTTAGTTGGACTAATTAGTATAAAAAGCCTCGGAAAGAATTTGCACTTCGCATTATTACTACACGGAACTGCCCCTCTGAGGGCATTCCCTTACAAAGCCTGGAAACAGACAGTCTAGCCCGCGCAATTAGTTACAGAACAACAGGCATGTGTAATCAGAGGCTGGGATTCATGAATACAAAACATTTGTGTTGTTCAGAGGTGGCTCTTTGTTGTAAATCACCTTGCTGGCAACTGCTAATTTCTGTAATTAGGAGCAGAGGGACTCGCTCCTCAAAAATCCTGCTGTCAGTGGAACCATGGCAAATGAATTCGATGGGGAAAATTTCGGTTTCCCGAGAGAAGCCCACATAGCACAGGGGTGGGGGACGCAGGGGAAGTAGATGGCTCGTTTCGTGCAACTATGCACACTTGTGTCTGTATGTGCTTGCACGCCTTTGCGCTTGCTCAAGCCAGGTGTGGACATGAAGAGCTTTCCTCCATTACTTTTCCAGCTCAAATTGTTAAGACAGGGTTTCTCACTGAACCTGGCGCTCACTGATTCAGCTGAACTGGCTGACCAGGGAGCCTCAGGGATCCTCTGATCTTGGCCTCCACAGCACTGGGATTATGGGTGTGCACAGCTACACCTCACTTTTGAGAAAGGTTCTGGGTGTCTGTACGTAGGTCCTCATGCTTGTGTTTTACAGACTGAGCCATCTCCACGGCCAGACTCCAGTTTCCATAGAAAAATTCTGTGAGCTTTGAGCTGGATGAAGAATGACCCAAGGGAGACCATGGTAAGTACGCAGCTCTGTGGTCTGAGCCCATAGATCTGACTTCTGAATACAGGCCACGTCTCAATGGGAATCTCTGTGCAAGGGGGAAAAGTGCAACTTGGCTCATCAATACTTTTAGTCCAGGGGTATTATTGGCTCCTTTAAATAGCCTTGCATCTGTTTGGTCTTTCTTGCCCTGGACTTGGACTGGACTGAGGGCAGGGCTGAGGAAAGCTGAACTGGCCTCACCAGACCCGACGTCTGAGTGCCAGCTTTTATGACAACAACTTTCCTGATTGCTTTACCTTTGGATACTGGAATGATTGCGCTCTCTCTCTCTCTCTCTCTCTCTCTCTCTCTCTCTCTCTCTCTCTCTGTGTGTGTGTGTGTGTGTGTGTGTGTGTGTGTGTGTGTGTGTGTTCGTGTCTGTGGGTATGAGCAGTGGCCAGAAGTCAACCTCAGGTGTCATCCCCTCAGGTTCTATCTGTATTATTTTTCATACACAGTCTCTCATTAGCCTGCTATTCACTGAGTAGCTAGCCTGCCTGGACAGTGAGCCCCAGGGACCTGCCTGCCTTTGCCTGCTAAGTGCTGGGACTACAGGTCTGGCCCCATGCTTGGTGTACTACATGGGCTCCAAGACTCAAACCCAGGTCCTTGTGCATATTTCATCCACTGAGCTCTCTTTCCAGCCCCGTCCTGGGGTTTTTGATTACTGACAGGGCAGAGGGTTATGAACACTAGCAATTTACATGGCTAGAAATCTTAAACAACTGAAAGACTGAATATAAAGGAATTTTAAGGGACGTCTGGAGAGTTCTCCAACAACATGCAAGTACTAAGTGCCAAGGCAGAGTGGTCAGCAGTCTGAGGCCATGACTGCAGAGGCAGTGTGCACAGACACCATCAAGAAAGTCTGCTAACACACACATGCGGGACTCCCCCTGAGTGGCACCAGGGTTCTGCAGGGTAGGGATGAATCCTGAGATTCATACCAAGCTCCCGGACATGGCTCACATCGTAGGGCTAGACAGCATAGCTGTGACAACCACTGGTGTGGGGCTGAGGCTAAGACCAGCTGGCACTGTTTCCATTCCCGGCACCACATAATCCAGGCATTACGGCACATGCCTGTTATCCTAGAACCTGAGAGATGGAAGATCCGGAGTTCAAGGTCATCCTTGGCTACAGAGTGCATTCTACACCACCGTGTACACAACCACTGGTGTGGGAAAATCTTAGCCTAGGAGAAGCACTGGTGTGGGACTATCCCAGCCAAGGGGAGACATTGGTGTGGGATTATCCCAGCCTAGGGGAAACACTGGTCTGGACTATTCTAGCCCAGGGGAGACACTGGTGTGGGATTATCCCAGCCAAGGGGAGACACTGGTGTGGGAAAACCAAAATAGCCAAAACATTCATCCTCAGAAGGTGGAGATTCCACTAGTATGAAGGAAGAGAAAGATGGTGGTAGAATGGGTTCTAGCTAGGCTCTAGCTATAGTATTCTGGCTTGTATACTTCATGGTCCACCCTATCAACTTCTAGGACAGTGTCAAAGAAGAGAGAGGATGGACTGGATCGGGAGGGTGAGAATATCAAAAGGAGTTCACTGGAAAACATTTATCTGTCTGTTAGCAAGGAGAAAAAATTGAAGATATTGGCTATCCCACAAGTAAAGTAATGGAACAAGATAACATGCAATTTTTCTAAAATCTATTCAGCTACACTCTAATAATCTTCCGACAGAATCTCACAGAATGTGCGAGAGTTTTAACACACTGGGGCGATGTTTAAAGAAGTTATGTCATTTAAATAATGGCTCCCATCATGGAGTCCCTGAGGAGAGCTTTACCACTTGGCCAGTGGACCATTGTGGTGAGAAGCAGCAGTGTGACCGGCTCCTCTGCCTAACAGTGGGAGAAGGTGCTGGGAGTTTGGGGGCTCTGAAAAGGCTCCTGCCCCCTCCCCCACCACCATTTTTGTTCTTATCTTGCCATCATTATCGGATAATATTTATTGAGCTTACTCGTGCGTGGGGCTCTGTCTTCTTCCACTGCACTCAGATTTTCTTCCTGACTTCCCTTTTTCTTTTTGCCTTGTGCTCAATCTGCTGATTTCCCCCCTCGGGTTGCCAACTGTGAACGCTGTCCCCGCCCACTCAATCAGCGATTCACTGCTCAGAGAAGGCATCCAATTGCACACACTGCATGCCCACATGTGGCTCTTCCTCACTCAGGGCCAAGGACCGCACTGCGTGGACAGAAGGAATCGTCCTAACAGTGACTGCTACCCCAAGTGTGTGCAAGGATGGAAGACAATTATTCCAAGGAACCACACATGCCCTGTGAAAGTTACAGTGGAGGGTAGGGAAAGAAGACAGAAACAGAGTGGAGAGAGAAGGAAGGGAGAGAGAGATGGGAGAGGGAAAGGAAAGGGGAGAGGCAGCAGAGACAGAAGAGGGAGGAGGGAGAGGAGATATACATACAGAGAGACATTCATACAGGAAAAGAGGCAGAGAGAGGGAAGAAGGGAAGGGGGAAGAAGAGATAGAGTCAGGAAAAAGAGGAGGAAGGGGAAAGAGAGGAGAGAGAGATGAAAGGACAGAGAGGAAAGAGATACAGGAGGGAGGGGAGAGGAGTGGATAAGGGAGATGTAGGGCACATGTATGGGGAGGGGATCCGTGGGGGGAGGAGAGGCTAAGAGACCAATGTGTCTCAGGGGACATTGTTTACAGCTTCCTTGGGGAAAGCCTTACAATTCCGTGTAGCATGGAACTCACATGCCCTCTGACCCGATTAAGATCCTTAACAAGCCCTGCATCTCCCTCTTACCCTGCCCTCTCGGCCCTCTTAGGGAGCCTTACCTCATCAAGACATCTCTCATACTGTTCTCGTTGACTCTCGTTTTCCAGTGCCAGTGCCGAGTTCTCCGCCTGCAGTAAGAGACAGAAATAACAACCATAAATCAATGGAACGTTGTGTTATGTGACAACTCATTCAATATGGTTGCTAAATATACCTCCCCAGGACCCCGGGTGATCTCTCAGAAGTACCTTTGACAGGTTTGCTCTAAGTACTATTATAAGTTTCGCAGGGATGACTCTTGTCTTACAGGCTTGCTTGCTCGCATACATTATGAGTCTAAGAAATCGGAACTTGATATTCTGAGCAAGTAGAAAATCAAATCAGGGCCATGCAGGAGTGTTCCACAGAAAGATGCCAGTATTTGTCTTATGCTATGAAAATGTAAATGTAAGAAACACCGAAATCCACTCCTTTAGGACCTGGCATGGTCTCAGCCTAATACTTGTTGAGGCCACACACACACACACACACACACACACACACACACACACACACCAGGTAAAGCTTTTAACTCAAACACAAAGTCCAGGCTATTCTTGGGGTCAGCCAGTGACACTAGAACATAAGATGATAAAGAGAAAGCCACACCTTGAACGGTCCTCATGGATCCATCTGACCACCCTCATTAGAGCCCATTAGAGCTTTTGTGCTCCCCAGAGCACACGGGCTTGGGGGTGTTGACATGCTACCTTAGTTTCTTTCACTGTTGCTGGGATAAAAACAAGCTGACAAACCTCAGGGAGAAAGGATTGATTCTTGTTCATGGTTTAGGTGAAGTCCATTATGGTGGGGATGTCAAGGCAGCGCCATGGGTGGGTTATGGGGAATCAAACTCAGGTCCTTATGTTTGCCAGAAAACACTGTACTGACTGAGCAATCTCCTCAGCCAAGAAAGGAGCACCCTTAATCAGTTTGCTGAGTGTATGTAGTAGGCTTTAGTGTGTGTCCTTGACGGCTTCTCTCCATCTGATCCAGGAGTTTTTGTTTGGTAATACATGCACATACACACATCACACACACAAACACACACAATTTTTAGTAACCATGTAGAATTCCCTCACATCTTGATGATCAACATTTAGTCACATCTTCTCCTTCCTTCTTATCGTTTTCCTGCACCATGAAGGCAGGTCTCAGACGAGCCCCATTTATCCTTTGATGCTCTTGTGCACAACCACAGGCTGGTTATCAGTTTCCTGAAATACAATATACACTACGGTAATGTGGTCCACACTTGTTCCAATTTCAGCCCTGAACTGATCATACCCTATAGAGCCAGTTCTTCTAGTCCACAATTCTTGTTAATAGCTAGTGGTCTCTGATATGAACTCCCGATTGTATGCTGTGATTTTTCTCCCCGCACACTCCTCCTTCCTTCCCTTTCTCTTCCTCTCATCCCTTCAACTCCTTTTTATTCACTTCCTGTCCTCTCTTCCCCTTTCCTCCCCACCGACCCCCTTGGCTTCTTCCTTCCTACTCACCATCTTTGTTTCCTATCTTTAGAACCCTTTTTCAGCAGTGAGATCTGGGCTCCCAAAGGCAGTATTTTTACTAGCTTGTTCCACCCCTGCAGTGTACAGACAACTGTTACACCATGAAAATCCACGCTAAGCAGAGGTGAGCATATATTCTGTTTCTAGAGTGAGGATATTAATGAAAATTCTCTGCCCAAAGGTGACCAGGCCAGCTCTCTGCCTCCCATTCGGTGTCCATTATGCAATCCATTTGTTTCTGACAGTCTTCAAATTTAATTTCCCCTCTTTCTGATTTCATGTTATTGTTCTGAATATGTTAAATACTAGCATGATTTCAGAAGTCAAGGCTACACTGAAAGGCACATGCTCAGTGAGACTCCCTCCCTCACTCTTTCTGTGCACCTCTTTTGTAGGCTTGTGAGCAGGGTTCGCTTTCTCCCGTTTTGCTTTTTTCCAAGGCTTCATTAAACAGTGTCCTTTGCCCCCTCTCATCAGGACATATTCAGACATGATTTCCCATTTCTCTACTCTTCACATCAGTACATCAGATACAAACATTCTTCTTTACCTTCACACAGGATCCGTGGATAGCATGTGCACCTTCACATGTGTGCCTGTGCACCTTCACATGTGCCTGTGCACCTTCACATGTGTGCCTGAGCACCTTCACATGTGTGCCTGTGCACCTTCACATGTGCCTGTGCACCTTCACATGTGCCTGTGCACCTTCACATGTGTGCCTGTGCACCTTCACATGTGTGCCTGTGCACCTTCACATGTGTGCCTTGCACCTTCATATGTGTGCCTGCGCACCTTCACATGAGTGCCTGTGCACCTTCACGTGTGCCTGTGCACCTTCACATGTGTGCCTGTGCACCTTCACATGTGTGCCTGTGCACCTTCACATGTGTGCACATGTACCTTCGTGTGTGCCTGTGCACCTTCACATGTGTGCCTGTGCACCTTCACATGTGTGCCTGTGCACCTTCACATGTGTGCACATGTACCTTCGTGTGTGCCTGTGCACCTTCACATGTGTGCCTGTGCACCTTCATATGTGCCTGTGCACCTTCACATGTGTGCCTTGCACCTTCACATGTGTGCCTGTGCACCTTCACATGTGTGCCTGTGCACCTTCATATGTGCCTGTGCACCTTCACATGTGTGCCTGTGCACCTTCACGTGTGCCTGAGCACCTTCACGTGTGCCTGTGCACCTTCACATGTGTGCCTGTGCACCTTCACATGTGTGCCTGTGCACCTTCACATGTGTGCCTGTGCTCCCTCACATGTGTGCCTGTGCACCTTCACATGTGTGCCTGTGCACCTTCACATGTGTGCCTGTGCACCTTCACATGTGTGCCTGTGCACCTTCACATGTGTGCACATGTACCTTCGTGTGTGCTGTGCACCTTCACATGTGTGCCTGTGCTCCCTCACATGTGTGCCTGTGCATATGGAAGCCAGATGTTGACGTCAGGTTGTCTTCTCAGTTATTCTCCACTTTACTGTTTTGAGACAGGGCCTCTCAACAAGCCTGCACCATACAAATTTACTCAGGCTGGCTTGTCACCAGGCCCCAGGACCCTTCTGTTCCTCCTCCCCACTGCCTGGACTAAGACATGTGCAGCTATGTCAGATATTTATCTGTGGGTGCTGGGACTCCAAATGAAGCCCTCACACATGCACGGCAGGTGCGTTACTGGCCGAGCCATCTCCCTACCCTCCATGGATACTTTCACCCTTACTCTGCCCTTGCTTTGTCCCATTTAGTGGATAATGATTGATGGGGGTTAGTCTTATATTTTCCAGAATTTCAGAGCATCTTGAAATACCCCCTTTCCTCTTTTTCCCGTACAACATCTCTAAGTCACACCCTTTATTGCCTCCTCCTCCCAGGCCACATCATCCTTTGGAGAAAGCCACAGGGATCAGCTCTTCTGCACTCTACCTCTCAGCCCCCATAGCAACCCTGTTCATGCTGGGCCTAATGCTGACCATGTGACTCGGCTGTTGACTTCCTCCCAGGCCTTCCTCTGCCATCCTCCCTAGTCACAGGCTGTAGCACTACTTCTGTGGGGTTCTTGAGGTCATTTTTCACTTATAGCAATATGCAATTCATTTCTTTGGTTTTCATAATGAGAAAGGCATGGACCTCCTATGACTTAATTTTTCTGTATTATTATTATTATCATCAATCAATTTGTTCTTGAAAATTTCATACACTCAGTTCTTTCTTCTTCCTCCTCCTTCTCTCCACCACCCACTTTTAGGATTGAACCTAGGGCCCTGCCTTTACTAAGCAGCAGGCAAATCCTCTGCCGCTATCTTGACTATATCCACCCTGACTCCATCGCTCCAACCCTTCTCTTATCCTCAACATAACTCCCTCTTAACTTCAAGCCTTTTTTTTTTAAAAAAAAAATACCCACTGCATCTAATTAGTACTGCACATAGTACATAGGTGTGTGCTCCTCTACTTGGGCATGAGTAACCTGCTAGTAGCCATCCCCACCTAAGGAAAGCCACTCCTCCTCTGCCAGCAACCAGCAACTGCTATGCTCCTAGGCTTGTTTCACTTTTGTTTTGTTGAACTTGCTCCAGGAACAGTGGCTGCAACACTTAGTTCTTTCCCCAGCCCAGGTAGAAGGACAGTTTAGGTTCTAGTTCAGTTGTGTTGCAGATATCTAGGTGATGCTGGGGCTTGCAACCTCCAGCAGGTTATTGTAGGTAATAAATCCGGCTCTCTGATTAACAAAGCTGGAGAGATAACTTGGTGTATAAAGCACTTGCTATGTTAGGAACCCGAGTTCAGTATTGAAAGCTAATGTACGAAAGAGGAACATGGTGACATGCACCTGTAATCTCAGCACAAGGAAGGCAGAGACAGCATGCACCTGTAGTTAGAGCTCACTAGGCAGCCAGCCCAGCCTTCTTGGTCAGTGCAGGTCTGTAAGAGACCCTGTATCTCACCCCATTTCCCCTTAGCCCCATGCCATCTCATCCCTAGTTCCCAGGTTTTGCCTTGCAATCTTGTCTACTTCCCATATCCAGGTGGATGACTATATGTTTTTCTTTGGGTTCACCTTCTTATTTAGCTTTTCTAGGATCACAAATTATATGCTCAATGTCCTTTATTTATGGCTAGAAACCAATTATAAGTGAGTATATCCCATGTTCATCTTTTTGGGACTGGGATACCTCACTCAGGATAGTGTTTTCTATTTCCATCCATTTGCATGCAAAATTCGCGAAGTCATTGTTTTTTACTGCTGAGTAGTACTCTAATATGTATATATTCCACACTTTCTTCATCCATTCTTCCATTGAAGAGCATCTAGGTTGTTTCCGGGTTCTGGCTATTACAAATAATGCTGTTATGAACATAGTTGAACAAATGCTTTTGTCATATTAAAGGGCATCTCTTGGGTATATTCCCAAGAGTGGTATTACTGGATCTTGGGGTAGGTTGATCCCGAATTTCCTGAGAAATCGCTGATGGAGGAAGGTCATTGGTTAAGTAATAAAGAAACTGCTTGGCCTCATAGGTTAAAACATAGGTGGGAGGATTAAACAGAACAGAATGCTGAGAGG